AAGAGTTCAGGATTGCACAGAAATCTTAAGTCCCCTGTTAGTTTAAAGCAGTGGTTCCTACTCCCGAGGTCCCAAAGTAGGAGTGTGAACATTTCAATATTTCAATAGCCCTGATGGATTGTCTACATTTAACAGCTATAAAAGGTCGCAGGCTAAGGCAATGGGTATGGGATATTTTGTTGTTTACCCATTTATCCTGCTGTCTAGGAAAATCATAGTAACACGGTGTGAGAGCACTATCAAATTAACTAGAAGCTCTACTGGAGACATGATTCCTTAATTCTTAAACAGGAAGATGGATTATTCCTTAGAAAATGGGTGTTATTAGTGTCACCAGCTCTATGAATAAATTTCAGTGACCCCTGTGTTTGTTTGTGTGTGTGTGTGTGTGTGTGTGTGTGTGTGTGTGTGTGTGTGTTTTTAATAATCCTTGCTCTGAAATAACTAATAACTTGACCTTTCGAGTTGCTTCCCAGAAGTGGTGGATTTTGTGCAGGACGAGGGAGCTGAGATTCTGACAGCCTCTGGGCAGACCTCCTGACGCCAGGATTTGCTGCCCCCCATGACCTGCCCTAAGGCACACACCCTTGTTAGTTACACCAGACCTCCTCCAAGGCACGCCACCCCTCCTTTAATAGCCCATGGTCTCTTAGTCAGGGAGCTGGCTTTGAGATGACTTCTCCTAACAAGGCTTTTTCTGTATTAAAAAAATTCCTTTCTTCCTTGGCCGTCCTAGTTCTCTCAATAATTGGATCTTTGTGCAATGAACAACTAGACCCAGACCAACACCCCTTGCGGTTTCGACAGCATGTGGTTTCAAAGCACGTGCACAATAGGAAGAAATCTATTTTAGAAGGCTCTCGGTGGTAAACATTCATTGCCAAGATTTCTAAAATTTGGCCAGAAGTAGCTCCAAAATATGCATTTGACCCTACCCCTATCTCCCAATTCCTTTTCATGCTCGAGCCTTTTGACAAGGACAGAATTTACTTATATCTAAATCTAAACAAAATAATCACACTGCAAACTCATTTCCTTAAAAAAAATGAGAGAAACAATTAGCGTTACTACTCCCTCAGCCCTAGACTATGAAATAATTTTTAAATGTAGACTACAGCTGGGATGTAATGTTATTATCATTCAAAGGAATAACCTGCTGAATCCTATAGAAGGATGACTTAATCATCACCAGTTTAGCAAATTAGCCCATGGATTTCATTAGCGAAACAGATTTGACTTGAGGGTACAGAGGAGTCAATGAGTTCCAATAGTAAGTATCTTTCTCGAGAGGTTTTGATGGAGACTAGAAGTCACTGGTGTTCAGAGAGGGATGCTTTTCTGATCAGGGTGTTAAATGGCAGGATTCCCCCGCATCTGCATAAACCAAGGGTGTGTGTTCAAGTTTGTGGCTTTAGAGAACGAGATGTCTTGACATTCAGAAACCTACTTCCCACAGCTAGAAGGAGACCGCATCTTTCTTTTAGGGCACTGTATTTTAACAGTGTTTCACTGTGAACTTGATTTCAACTAAGTTTGACAAAAGGGTAATGCTTCTCGACAGAGCAGCGGCTGAGACATTAATATAGTGTCATTCGTTGATGGTATTTTTAGCACTGAAGCAAAACATTTCTAAAAAATCTAGCATATTTCTAAAAAACAAACAAACAAACAAACAAAAAAAAAACCAACAAAATCATGGAGCAGCTACTAACATGTTTTTAGGATTCTATGATAACACTAGTTCCCAACTATCATTCAAGACCCTTGATGCTGTCTTTCTGACCTATACCGCTTGAGTCTCCTAAGGGCCAACTAACTGCCTTTCAAAGCAAAATGCCAATAATTCTCCTCTTCCCCAGACAGGCTCCCTGGGAGTCCCAGCCTGTGGTCGCCTCTCCTGCACTGAGGCTCGACGGCACCGGATATGTAACTTTCATAAGCACTGCTTTCTAACCGCGGCTGTCTCTGTGATTTGTGCACACGCCTCCTCCTTGGCAGCCGCTAAGCTATTTTGGAACCTAACAGGCATTAAGGGAGAGAATGAATGGGGTGGCTGAACTAGAGCGTGCAACGCGGCCTGGAACTCTGTCTTTAGAGACCCTGGGATCTAAAAAATAAAATACACACAACTCTCTCTGCACAGGCCATAGCCTCAAGGAAATAAGACCAAAACATCGAGAATTCCCAGATTAGGAACACAGGTTTTCGCTTCTCACTACTCCAAGATAACAGGGTACATAGAGGAAGGCTGAGAGAGGGATACCGTGGCGGGTGAATCCTGCTCGGATGAAACGCACCTGTTCATTCGTTTAACCCGCAGTGCATACAGGGCTGTAACAAGGGGACCCAGAGAAGGGGTGGCATGGGGTCTGAGCAGCCCAGGAAGGTCATCCAGACTCTGAACACGGGAACCCTTTTGGGCTGGGGGCCAGGTAACCGCAGGTGTAAGAAATGCTCCTTGCCCGGGGGCACTCCGCAGGGCGCAGGACTCTGGATGTGCACATGAAGGCGTGAATGGCAGCAGCAGCTTTCATGGGCTGCAGCCTCAAGAGATGGCCAATAGAGGACTTTTTCTCTCTGCCTCAGGCTGGGTCCTCCTGCCTTACTGAACTGCCTGCAGTTCGCAGAGAAGCTGTTTGCAGCTTCTCCTCGTTCCCGGCACTGCCGAAGAGGGCAAGTGACCAGAGGACAGAAAGATGTGTAAGAGAGCAAGGGGCAGGCGCAGACCGACTGGCTGCTGCTTTTCCAGCCTGCCTGGGCCCCCTTGGCCAAGTGCGGATGTCCTTCCCCCGGCGCCCCGAGCACCTCGTGTGTACCAGTGTTCATCCCTTCATTACACTGCACTAGGTCTCCCCAACGCACCCATGCGGCGACATGAACTGCTTCCGGCAGGGACCACATTTTATATTTACTGCTGTCTCCGCCCAATACCAATACCAGACACACAGTGGGTGCTCCATCAGTACCTCTAAACTAGCTGATAGGGAGAAGCATTCCATCAGGATCTTTTCATCTCTTTGCCGGTAAACTCTGATGCATCCTCCCCGCTCCGTGAAGGCACTGAAGGAAATTGCAATATTTTACCCCAAAACATATTTTTTTGACCTTTTTTGGGGTTGGCTTTCTTAGGTTGCTTTTGTTGGGTTGGGGTTGGGGGCTTTTGCTTTTTTGGGGATTGCGGCCGGTTTTACCTTTTCGGATCTAGAAAAGATTAACTGAGAGTCTGGCACCTTTTAAGGTCTGAAAAGAAACATTTACCATCTATTCTCTGAGGGCTGCTACCCCTAAGGTTCATTTACATAAGAGACCACCCTTGCCTGCTACTCAAGCCTCTTCCCCTCTCCCTCCCAACACCTGTTTTTCTACTTTCAAGCCTCCATTTTCTAAAAACCTCTGCACCTCACTGAAGAGCTGAATCAGCATTTTCTCAGTTCCCAAATATAAATGTTAAAATAAATTAGTATAGCTTTTCTCTTATTTTTTAATTAATTTATTTTTTTGAGAAAAGGTCTCACTCTGTTGCCCTGGGTACAGTGCAATGGCGTCATCACAGCTCACTACAACCTCCAACTCCTGGGCTCAAGTGATCCTCCTGCCTCAGCCTCCCGAGTAGCTGGGACTGCTGGGACTGCAGGTATGCGCCACCACGCCCAGCTAATTCTTTCTATTTTTAGTAGAGATGGGGTCTTCCTCTTGCTCAGGCTGGTCTCGAACTCCTGACCTCAACCAATCCTCCTGTCTTGGCCTCCCTCCCAGAGCACTGGGATTACAGGTATGAGCCACCATGCCTGGCCTCTATAGCTTTCCTCTTAATCTGTTTTTATTGTGAGTTGATTTTTCAGCAAACCTTCTGAGGGCAAAGGAGAAGTTTTCCCTTCACCCCAACAGCATCACCTCTTCCTGCGCCTCCAACCCACATCCAATGGGGATTTGGCTGGGGGTCCTAACCCCAGCATAGATAGGCACTCTTGGGTATCTCATCACTTTGTGAACCGGGCCATTTTGCATTAGAATTAGACATGCATCCTTGTATTTGCTGAGCATACACTGTGTAAGCCCGTAGCTGGGTCTCACTGAGCATCCCCCATGTCTAGCGTGATACCTGAGCCATCCTAGAACTGGCTCAGTCCATGCTGCAGAGAGAATGAAGGGTCAGCTCAAAATGCTCTTGTGAGTTTGCACAGGCACAATAATGGCCTCCCAAGGATGTCCTCTTCCTAATCCCTGGAACCTGTAAATACATCACACCACATGGCAAAAGAGACCTTGTCAATGTGATTATGTTAATGATCTTGACGTAGGGACATGATTTCAGGTTATCTAGGTGGGTCAGTGCGATCCCACGGGCCCTTGTAAGAGGGAGGCAGGACAAGGGTCAGAGAAGTGAATGATGCGACATTATGGAAGCAAAGGTCGGAGAGAGGGAGAGGGTGGGGGCTTTGGAGATACTAGATCGTTGCCTTTCATGACAGAAGAAGGGCACTGAGCCAAAAAAGTGGGCAGCCCCTAGAATCTGGTAACAGCCAGGGAAACAGGTTCTCCCTAGAGCTTTCAGAAGGCCCTACTGACATCTGATTTTAGAACAGTGAGACACCCACTGTGGACTTCTGGGTTCTAGATCTGTCAGTTCACAAACTTGCATTGTTTTAAGTCAGCACGTTTGTGTTAATTTGTTAGAGCAGCAATGGGAAACTCATACATGAGGTAGAGAGCGTCTTGTTTTAATCAACTAGGCAATATGGGGTTGTATTTACACTTGGGTTTACACACCTTCCTTCCAATGTCTTGACATGGGATGTGGGCTTTTAAGTTCCACGGGGACCACAACGTGGAAGACACATCAAGGTCATGGCCTTCTGCCTGTCTGATTCCCATGACACAAGAAAGTCCTACATAATGCAAAACAGTAGCAGAACAACGAGAAAGCTCTAAGATCAAGGAGAAAGTGTACAGTGGATAAACTGGGAGGCAGAGCTTGTGGACACACCAGCCTTTCTCACCTTTATAGATCCCGTTACTTCCGCCGTGAACTTCTCCTTTGATGTTCACTTCTTCTACGTGGGCTCCGTGGTCTGATGTGAAGTAGACAAGGGTATTGTTCGCCAATCTCAGCTCATCTAGAACATTCAAGATCTGCCCTGGAGGGGGAAAAAAAGACTCAGTTTTGAAACACTTCAATCTTCACAAAAGAAAGGGAAGCGGTGGGTTGCCTTCCTCAATGGGTTGGCTGATCTGCCAAGGTGGGAGGGAAATGCTCATGCACATTGGAGCTCGCTCCATGCTGATCCAACAAGGGAGAAGGTTCAGTCAATGGCTTTAGTGTCATGTAGAGCCATCTGGGTATCATGAAGTAGTTCTACAGGGAGACCTGATGAAGTATTCTAATAGCAGCAGGCTTGTCAATCACGACTCGTGTGGAGGAAGGTGCCGGGGAAAGAGGCTGGATGGTTGCTCTCACCAGCTGGTGGCCCTGAGGTTGTAAAGAAGTCTACCATTTTTCCTTACTGCATGGGCCAACTAAACAATCATTGCTCCTCTCATAGGAACACATATTTATACAAATATCTCATGAGGAATGTCCTCTTTTAATACTAATAGTAGGTACCCAAGACTGAAACTGTCCATCACAAATAGCGAAATTCCTCACACTTTCCTTCTTCTTGTCATTCTTTCCCCCAAAACTAGCATCATAGACCACCCCCAAATAACAACACTGCAAAATAACAACAACAGAATAATTGCTACATCTTTGAACACTTCACATGCAAAGGACTTTATTACATGTTCTCCCACTTAGCCTCACTGAGCCCTACGAGTAAATAGCAATGGCCCCACCGGATGGATGAGAGCACCGTGATGTAAAAAGATAAGCGACCTGTTCAACTTCGGACAGTTGGGAAGGGGGAGAGGCAGAAAGTAAGAGTTAAATCTGACTCTGAAACCCTGACAGCTGAAGTTTGAAGAAGAGGCTGGAACACAGACTCCGGGTAGGAAGCTATTGCTGGCTCTCAAATCAGAAGACAATGAACAAGCCAGAGGTATACCATGCCCAGTTTCCACAGGGGTCTGCATAGACCTGGGCTGTGTATTGAACTTAGTTAGTGCATACAGCTGACTTCCATGGGCGTATTAGAGTCTGACTCTGTACTTTGATGTTGAACTGCTAAGAGTTTTTAAGCCTCACACTCCCTCTTCCGCTTGTGCTGCATAAGCTGATCAGGAATCCTGGCTGCCTCCGCTTCACTGCCGTGGGAGGCTAGAACCGCAGAAGCCCCTGCCTGCGTGTAGGAAACCCTCATCCAAGCCTCGGCTCCGAGCCACCGTAAAAGTAGAATCAGTCTCTTTTCCCTGCTCTCTCAAGCTATTTTTGGACCAATTTAGGAGCTGCCCTGATCTTCCCCAGAAAGCCTCATTACATGAGTAAGAAACCTTTTCATGTCTTCTTGGTGTGTGCACATGGTGCCAATGGTCTGGACAGGGGAACCAAATTTTGGATGGGCTTCATTTAGTCATAATAGGGTGACCATAGCCACTGATGTTCTATAAGGACACCAGGTATCTTCTGTGTCAGAAATTCTATCTTCTATCCCCAGTGCCAGAAATAATTAAATATGGGTTGCTGAATACATCATATCTAGTAGTTGAGTCCCGCCCAGAGGAGACTGGCCCTCCACTCCAGGTTGCACCCTCACCTAGTTGGTGCAGAGTGAGGGGAGAAGGGTGCAGAGTCAGCTCACAGAGGTGGCAGAGATGATTTCTGATGCAAAGACAACACCCAAGTCATTTGTTACAACACATATTTTTGCCATTTGATTGCAAATGCCACAGGCGAGAGCATGTTCAATCTTTCTCAATTTTTAACTCGATGATAAACATTCCTAGAACCCACGCCATATATATAAATGTCATACTCAGAACCAAGCAATAAGACACCCGAGGGCATTTTAGCAATTTGTCTCCCATGATAAATCATTATCCAGCAGACATTTATTGTGGTGTTATCTGGTACAGCCAACCAAACCACCTGTGCGCTTGGGCTTGCGGTTATTTGGCTGCGACACTAATTTAAGCCTTATTACTTTGAAAATGGCAATTAGCTTAATGAGTTGAAATAGAAGGAAGCAATAGGCAATATCACCCCCACTTTGAAAGAAAAATGCCCCCTTTTGTTCATATGATGACTTCTGTGTAAAATAATACAGACCGGGCAGCAACAGAGGCTGGAGGAGTTCCCTTGTCTGCATTGCAGTTCGCATTTAGCAAAAAGGCATGCAGCCATGCACCTTCCTTCCAAGTCAAATTCTTCTTTCATATATGTTGACATACCTTAGCACAAAGGAAATGCCATGCAGAAATGTCTTATAAAAATGTGGCTTCCGTGATACTTACATGTACACAAACACACACACAAATATTCACGCCAGGTCTATTTATAATTGCCAAAAACTTGGGGGGCACAGGCGGAGCACAGAGGATGTTGAGGGCAGTGAAAGTATTCCGTACGATACTGTCGCGGTGGATACATATCATTACGTATTTGTCAAAACCTATAGGATGCACAATACTGAGAGTGAACCCGAATGTCAACTATGGATCTCAGTTAACAATAATGCATCAATATAGGCTCATCAGTTGTCACAAACAGTTTAGGCTAATACCAGATGTAAATAATAAGGAAAACTGTGTGTAGGGGAGAGGCGCTGCGTGAAAACTCTGTACTTCCTACTCAATTTTTCTGTAAACATAAAACTGCTCAGATGCGATGTGGACTCCAAGCCTCCTCATTCATTCATGTAACATGTGTTCAGGAAGCCCCCACCTTACACAGGCTCTGTGCTAACGCTGGGTAACACAAGGTTTCAGGGACAGCTCTTACCCCAAAGTCAGAGCCAGCTACTTCCTATGTAGAGTTTCTCCAAGGCTATTTCTATCTCCAGACAAATTTACAGCTGTTTTTATTGCACAGATTCTTTCAACTAAAATATCCTGCCTCCATTCCCATCTGAACACTCCTCCCCAAATATTTCCTCCAAATTCCAGTATTTCAAATGACCAAGATATTTAATGTGTCCCAATCAAAGTTTCTTATTGGAGGCCTCAAGTGATCATTTTCTTTAAAGTGTCGCTATACAAGTGGGCAGGGGCTAGCAGAAGAGAAAGTAGCTGAGGCCATCACGTACGTACGAATGGTGGGATATTTGGCTTAATGTGCCGAAAAATGGTCAGATTTCTGATTTCCTTTTAGTCCGTTCTTTCCTGAAGACACACTCTGTACCCCACACTATTTAGGTCTTAAGCCAGAATCTCATTTGTAAAGCCCAGAGCCCATTAAACATTTAATTTTTCATAAGATTGATCCTATAAAAGTCTCACATATTTCTCTCCTAAAACCCCCGAACAGAAATCTCCCATGGGAACAAATGCTGATGCATTATTTTTGTCTTCAGAGCAATAGATTGCAAGTCAGAGGTCTGCAAGTATTATTTTTCAGTAAGATTCTCAAGGTATAATGATACCAATTTATATAGAATGATAGCTCTGAATTACTGATGGTGGGTTGCAGGCTAGCTTATAAACTAAATGTTCTATTTCTGAAGCTTTCACAATTTGTTTCCTGAATGAAACAAACACAGAAAATAAGCCATTTCGAGAGCACCTTGTTATTTAACCAGAGACAACATCTGAAAGGCAAAGTGAGGGCTTCTTGACCAAACTTCTTGTAACCCTAAGGAAGAAAACCTGGAAATGGGAAAACCTGGCTCCTTCCCCAGTCAAGTGCGGGTGTGGGTCTCAGAGGAAGCCTAGATTCTAAAGAGTTCATTCATTCCTTTAAGTCATTCCACAAACAAGCATTAAGCCATTATTAAGAGTCAGGCACCGAGCTTCTCTGAGTAGGAGAGAGAAGGGTTTCAAACAAGCAGGGAGAATTCCAGGTCCCAGGTGAGTGAGGTGCTCTCACACAGTGATCAAGCTCTGCCTTCCGGGCCCCGATTTAAGCAGCCGACTCATGGAGATTCCTTGCCTCTAAGTTAGAGAAGATGACGGATAAGAGTAGGGGGTTGCCATGAGGAATGGACGAGGCACTGTGTACAAAACGCTTTGTCCAGGACTGGCCCAGAGTGAGCGCTCCATGCCCCTGACCTTCTACAGTGCTGTTAAGACGTCAGTTTGCCTAATGGAAGCCTTGCTATTTCAGTCGACTTAGCTTTGCTTTTTCTTCTACCAGGTAGGTAGACTCAGACAAAATATTGAAGCAAAATGCTGTGAAGTAACTATTTACATTTTGGAAGCATCAGGCTCATTAAAAAAATATATATGTATGTATCCCCATAATATGCAGAAATAAAAAAAGTAAAAAAAAAATATAGTCTTAAGTTTTTGATTTAGTGGGGAAGACCACGGATAATATAAAATATATCACAGCTTTGATAGAGGATAGACAG